GCTATTAAATAATTAAAAAACTAAATTGTACACAGTGATCCACTAAACAGAAACTACATATAATATTCAAGAAATTAAAAAAAAAAAGAAAAAGAAATATTTTCAAATGTCATAAAATTGACTAAGTTGTATAAATAAGAAATTTTGTATAGCTATATATTTTTTTATTTATAAATCAAATCAATAGTAAAATTATTAAAGATTCTTCAACTTCCATCACAAAATCATCTTAATTTTTATTATTAAGAAATGAATAAATTTTTCTACAACGATAAATTTTTATCGGAATTTTTAATAAAACTTCAACTAAAATTATATATAATTTGAATTATTTTACAAATGTTTTAGAAAGATGTCTCGTTGGTTCGATCAATCGACCATACTCCTGATGGGTATGATGTTGTTTAGTATATTAATATGGAATACAGCGAAAAGTTCGATAATGAGGTGTGAAGAAGCAAAACTAAAATGCGCTTATAGAACAGGCTGTGGCACTGCTTTGCAGCACTATCTTACGGGCTGTGCGCCTGTTCTCCAAGGCAATGATTGTTCCGAGACCTGCCAACATGCCCTTATTGCTCTTACAAGCACTGATGAGGGCAAAGAACTTATGACAGTACATATTATTTAATTGTTATATTATTTCTGCTTTTAATAAGAAATAAGTACTATTTATCTAATTATCGACAATAAATAATCAACGATGTGATGCTAATGACGAATACTTTATACTATGAATTTATCTTAAGTTAATAATTCTTAATGAAAATTTCGAAAAATTTATAGTATTTATAAAATAATATAAATAATATATGTATATTAGATTAATTTTTCTTTTATTAAAGTCCATATTTTAAACAATTAAAATTTGTTACTTCTAGTTATTTTTTTCTTTTAAACAAAATTAAAGGTATAAAAAAATTTAATTAAAATAAATTTATTTTTACTATTAATTTGTTTTTTAAAAATCTGTAATAATTTAGCGACTAGACAAAAATAATTTCTGTATATGTAAAATGCGATTTTTTAATGAATATTCTTTTGTTATTTAGTGTGAGTGTGAAGACGAGTTATGTTTACAATCAAAACAAAGGGTGGAAATATGCAGATCATCTGTAACAATGGCAATGAATAGGACAAGAGTATCTTGCAGGATAGCAACTTGGATTTGTAATGCAGATGCTCTTTGTCAAACTGCACTTGCATATTACAATAAATATTGCAAGAGTATGTTCCAAGGACATAAATGTACTAGACGGTAAATAATGTTTCTTAATACGAAAATATTTAAATGCCATAATTAAAAACATGTCAATTAGATTCTGTTTTACATTGTTACAAATTAATTTCTATAATATAGAAATGCCTTATTGAAGCAAATATTTTAGATGCAAAAACTCAATAAATATTTTAACAAGACAAGAAAAGGCTGCAAAATTAAATACTTGTCAATGTGATGGTTTTGAAGAATATGATTGTAAAGGAATTCATAGGAATATGAATCTCCTTTGTTTTGAAAAAATACACCATGGTTACCGTGACGTTAATATCGAAGATGAAAGAAGAAATGAATTTTTAACACCAAATATGAGCCTGAGAGGCGATGGTGTTCAAATATTAATCGACAGAAAACTATTTTTTCTTTCTTTATTGATTTATCATATACTTAAAGGGAGGCAAGGTAAGATTATTTATTACACTATTTTCTTTAATTCACTTTTAATATATTATTCTTTAAAATTTTATAGTATATACATAAAAGTTAAGTAAAATTATTTATAGATACTATTTAAATTTATATTTTTTATAAAACATAAGATCTTTATAATTATTATACATATATATATAAAAATTTGTCTTTTTAATTTATTGAAAATTGTATTGTTTCAGACTGATAATTAAAAAGAATCCAGAAAAATCTCCAAAAAGCAACAGTATTCCATGAAACCAATGACCAAAGATCTTTATCAACTTTTTAATCATCAATATTTGAACAATTTAATACTGGTATTAATGGATTACTTTTTCACTATTCTAGATATTTTAGCAGCATAACTAATTAATAAATAGTTGCATGATCTATGAAATTTTTTCATGAGGTTCTTGTTAAATTTGTACAAATAAAAAAAAAAGACAAAAAGGAATCTTGTACAGTAAAAGTAATGTATAGTAATTGTATTATAGTAAATGTAATGGAATAATTCGTTACAAATATTGTTATAAATCAGTTTTATTTATGAAGATATAATTATGTAAATATCTATATATTGAAATGTAGTATTGTTCTTTTCCTTTCTTTTTTTTCATGAGTTTAATATTTTCGAAAGTTCTTTTCTTGTAGAAAAATATTTTTTTTAGAAAAACCAAATATTTATTTTTGCAATGTTAGAATAATTATCATTTACTTCTACAAAATACATTTTGTAGAAGAATTTTATAAAATAATTGTAAAACATATATTTTTTAAATTATTTTCCAAAAGGAACTGAATTAAAATTATTGAGAAAGGAAAGTGTAATTTTCTTCAAAAATAAGAAATTTTCATGGTTTATGGTATATGGTTAAATTTATGCGAGTTCGAATGTGTGTATATTCTTATAAATTTTTTGAGAATTTGTTTTTATATCTAATTATATAATCAACTCAGAACTTTATTAATAACGAATTGTTAATACATTGTTAATAAAAGCGTGATTGAAGTTAACAAATTTCTACAGTTTGTATCCTAATTACATGAAAAGTTACCAAATAATTAGATAAGACAAAAAGTGTATGTAATGATGTACTACAAAAATTTTGCTAAATATAAATTATTTGCAATTTTATTATAATTTAAGGGATTCAAATATTTTTAAGACTGAATTAGAATATTGTATAATACTTAATATTATTATCTGGTATTTATTTTATTATTTAATATTTAACTAATATGATATGAAGTAAATTTATATTTTATTAAGTTTGAATAAATGTATTTACAAACGATTTTTTAAACTTACTTCTTCCAATGTTTGTTTATATTTATAAAAAGTATAACATTTTTACAAAATTTGTATGTATTAAAAATTTTCTTGTAGTATTGAAACAAAATTCTTATTATCTGATATTAAACATGAAAAGTTTTTCATGATAAATCACTTTATTAATTGTTATTGAATAAATGAACAATCTAAGGAAATCCGTCATCATCTTCTTCCGCCATTTCCTTAGCAAGCTCTAAATCTTGTTGTTCTCGTTCTCGACGTTCTTCAGCCGATTCAAGATCTTTACCATATGATTTTGGAGGATATCTCATGGCTTTAACACTTTGATTGTGCAAATCTAAACAAAATGTAATTCTTTGATGAAACGCAAGTAATGGTTCTTTAGTACAATAAATATCTGTAGTTTCTTTGCTACGCATGTATCCATTTTCAGGTTCTAAGGTAGCTTCAATTACACCGTCTCTTATAGCTTTAGCAACTATAAATTCTGCATCAACGCTAGAATCCAAACCAAGTTTCTTTGCAATGTCTGCAGGTGAAATTCTTGAGTAAGATAATCCAATTGATCTAATTGCAGTTTTAATAACATTATGTCTCAATCTGAGGATTAAAGTGAATGTGTGATCTGCTCTAAACTGTGGACCAAAGTTTTCTAGAACTTCTCCAAAACGTTGAAGATTTCCTAATCGAACAGCTTGAGTCAGCTGAAAGTATGGACCTAATGCACGACGCATTGCAGCTTGTCTGAAAGTTTGACGTTCCGGAATATCTCCAAGTAGAAGCTCCACCGTTACTGCTAATTTTTGAACTGTCTGACGAAAACCTACTGCAGTGCTTTGTGGAGCCTTTCTGAGAGCCTATAAAAATAAATATTTTCACAAAATATAAATTTAGTAAAAGTAGACCAATTTTTATTCTAGATTTTAATTTATTTCTATAAAATATTGTAATGAAAAATTTATACATTAAGAAAAATTTTGATTTACCTGTACCAAATACTTGTGTGCAGCAGAATATTCTAATCTAGCAGCTTTAATACGTCCCAAATAATATAAAAACCTAGCCCATTCATTAGTGCTGGCAGATTCTGGAAAAGTTGATTTTAATACAAGCTTATCTGCTTGATCATACAAATTATAATGCAAATAATTTCGCAATAAACAATTAATTAATACTGCTTGACCCTCAAAGTCATTTCTAAGAGTTGCTGTTCGTAATCTGAGATGTAATAATCCACGAATTTTATCTAGTCTTCCAACTAATTCATATGCTCTTGAATAATAGAAATAACATTTAGCAGCAATCAAATCAATTGTACGTCTATTTTGAGCAATAATTTTTTGCAATAATGCTTCGGAACATTGAACAGCTTCTTCATGTTTTCCAGCATCAATTAAGCGCACAAGAACTAGTAAATGAATGTAAGCATCAATTTCAGGTAATGGGCTCATGGTAGAAATACGAAGTTTTTGTGTTTCTTCAGATTCAGTAGGTTCTTCTAACCATGATAGTAATGCATCACGTTCTACACATGGCTTTGAATAAAAACTTAGAATTACTCCACGTAAAACATTTGAGTTTAATCTACGACGTGTATTAGGTAATGTACGCAAAGCTCTCAAAATAAAGCGAGGTTCTTTGCTCTGTACAGCCTTTTCTATTTGACGAGTATGCTCACGGATGTCATATATTGTTTGTAAATCAGCATCTTTTTTATCATATACATCCCCATCACCATTTTGACCTTCAAAAATTATTTCAACATCCATAGCTTCAGAATTTTTAGCTGAGGGAACACCCATTTTGGCTCCTTTAAAGATCTTAAATATATATAGACAAAACACATTTTAATTTTGGTACAATAGAATATAATATATAAATAATTAACATTAGAATATAATCATTTAATCATATACAATATTAATAATACAAATATTACATTAAATAATAGTTGTACAGTAAAAGTAATGTATAGTAATTGTATTATAGTAAATGTAATGGAATAATTCGTTACAAATATTGTTATAAATCAGTTTTATTTATGAAGATATAATTATGTAAATATCTATATATTGAAATGTAGTATTGTTCTTTTCCTTTCTTTTTTTTCATGAGTTTAATATTTTCGAAAGTTCTTTTCTTGTAGAAAAATATTTTTTTTAGAAAAACCAAATATTTATTTTTGCAATGTTAGAATAATTATCATTTACTTCTACAAAATACATTTTGTAGAAGAATTTTATAAAATAATTGTAAAACATATATTTTTTAAATTATTTTCCAAAAGGAACTGAATTAAAATTATTGAGAAAGGAAAGTGTAATTTTCTTCAAAAATAAGAAATTTTCATGGTTTATGGTATATGGTTAAATTTATGCGAGTTCGAATGTGTGTATATTCTTATAAATTTTTTGAGAATTTGTTTTTATATCTAATTATATAATCAACTCAGAACTTTATTAATAACGAATTGTTAATACATTGTTAATAAAAGCGTGATTGAAGTTAACAAATTTCTACAGTTTGTATCCTAATTACATGAAAAGTTACCAAATAATTAGATAAGACAAAAAGTGTATGTAATGATGTACTACAAAAATTTTGCTAAATATAAATTATTTGCAATTTTATTATAATTTAAGGGATTCAAATATTTTTAAGACTGAATTAGAATATTGTATAATACTTAATATTATTATCTGGTATTTATTTTATTATTTAATATTTAACTAATATGATATGAAGTAAATTTATATTTTATTAAGTTTGAATAAATGTATTTACAAACGATTTTTTAAACTTACTTCTTCCAATGTTTGTTTATATTTATAAAAAGTATAACATTTTTACAAAATTTGTATGTATTAAAAATTTTCTTGTAGTATTGAAACAAAATTCTTATTATCTGATATTAAACATGAAAAGTTTTTCATGATAAATCACTTTATTAATTGTTATTGAATAAATGAACAATCTAAGGAAATCCGTCATCATCTTCTTCCGCCATTTCCTTAGCAAGCTCTAAATCTTGTTGTTCTCGTTCTCGACGTTCTTCAGCCGATTCAAGATCTTTACCATATGATTTTGGAGGATATCTCATGGCTTTAACACTTTGATTGTGCAAATCTAAACAAAATGTAATTCTTTGATGAAACGCAAGTAATGGTTCTTTAGTACAATAAATATCTGTAGTTTCTTTGCTACGCATGTATCCATTTTCAGGTTCTAAGGTAGCTTCAATTACACCGTCTCTTATAGCTTTAGCAACTATAAATTCTGCATCAACGCTAGAATCCAAACCAAGTTTCTTTGCAATGTCTGCAGGTGAAATTCTTGAGTAAGATAATCCAATTGATCTAATTGCAGTTTTAATAACATTATGTCTCAATCTGAGGATTAAAGTGAATGTGTGATCTGCTCTAAACTGTGGACCAAAGTTTTCTAGAACTTCTCCAAAACGTTGAAGATTTCCTAATCGAACAGCTTGAGTCAGCTGAAAGTATGGACCTAATGCACGACGCATTGCAGCTTGTCTGAAAGTTTGACGTTCCGGAATATCTCCAAGTAGAAGCTCCACCGTTACTGCTAATTTTTGAACTGTCTGACGAAAACCTACTGCAGTGCTTTGTGGAGCCTTTCTGAGAGCCTATAAAAATAAATATTTTCACAAAATATAAATTTAGTAAAAGTAGACCAATTTTTATTCTAGATTTTAATTTATTTCTATAAAATATTGTAATGAAAAATTTATACATTAAGAAAAATTTTGATTTACCTGTACCAAATACTTGTGTGCAGCAGAATATTCTAATCTAGCAGCTTTAATACGTCCCAAATAATATAAAAACCTAGCCCATTCATTAGTGCTGGCAGATTCTGGAAAAGTTGATTTTAATACAAGCTTATCTGCTTGATCATACAAATTATAATGCAAATAATTTCGCAATAAACAATTAATTAATACTGCTTGACCCTCAAAGTCATTTCTAAGAGTTGCTGTTCGTAATCTGAGATGTAATAATCCACGAATTTTATCTAGTCTTCCAACTAATTCATATGCTCTTGAATAATAGAAATAACATTTAGCAGCAATCAAATCAATTGTACGTCTATTTTGAGCAATAATTTTTTGCAATAATGCTTCGGAACATTGAACAGCTTCTTCATGTTTTCCAGCATCAATTAAGCGCACAAGAACTAGTAAATGAATGTAAGCATCAATTTCAGGTAATGGGCTCATGGTAGAAATACGAAGTTTTTGTGTTTCTTCAGATTCAGTAGGTTCTTCTAACCATGATAGTAATGCATCACGTTCTACACATGGCTTTGAATAAAAACTTAGAATTACTCCACGTAAAACATTTGAGTTTAATCTACGACGTGTATTAGGTAATGTACGCAAAGCTCTCAAAATAAAGCGAGGTTCTTTGCTCTGTACAGCCTTTTCTATTTGACGAGTATGCTCACGGATGTCATATATTGTTTGTAAATCAGCATCTTTTTTATCATATACATCCCCATCACCATTTTGACCTTCAAAAATTATTTCAACATCCATAGCTTCAGAATTTTTAGCTGAGGGAACACCCATTTTGGCTCCTTTAAAGATCTTAAATATATATAGACAAAACACATTTTAATTTTGGTACAATAGAATATAATATATAAATAATTAACATTAGAATATAATCATTTAATCATATACAATATTAATAATACAAATATTACACTAAATAATAGCATTAAAAAATTTTAATTTCTTACTAAATTTTTTAATTTAGAGATGTTTATACCCATAATATTTAAATTATTAAATTATAATTTTTAATAAAATAGTATTACAAGTCTGATATTTATTAAAAATATAAAAATAAAAAGAACATTGACAATTTAGTATTAAACTTTATAATAAAGACTTTAATAACCAAACTTCAGGGACTTCTTTATTGTCAACTTAATACTGTATTCCTTAAATATACGTTTAATATTTTATTATACATAAAGTAAAATTCATAATATGTGATAGTAATAATTATAGAATATAACAACAGTATTGTACGTTTACCTTTTTTTAAACTTTTATACAAAAAATGAAAATTCTCGGAGCAAGTACAATTCTACGTTTTCATCGCACCAATTCACACTTATACATAACTAAAATTATCCATAAAATTTTGATAAAATTTCTAGCTAGGGTTTTTCGCTATGACAATCATACAAATTGTTCTTGTTATTAAAAAACTGTCAAAATAATATTACACGATTTTATTATAGTCATTATTAATATTTAATATATATGTATAAAACATTAAACACCTTCAGTACATATATACAATCTATAAATGTAAAATGTAAAAAATAAAAATTTTCTATTGAATTTATAAAAAATTGTATATTTATATTTTATATTTTCTATATTTTTTTATATGCATATCTTCTTTTAGACACCAACATTACTTTCTTCTTATAATACAAAATTTGATATAGATGGCGTAACCTAATAATGTTTACAGCTTAAGTACAGTAAACCATCTAAATAAATATGTAAATCAATGGATAGGAAAATGATATGTAGGCATGAGATAACCTGGATAGCAAATAGTACAATATTTTCAGTTATGATGATGTAAATACTTGTGTTAAAGTAAAATCAAGAATTTCACTTATTAATTTTTATGTCATATTTCAATATGAATTTAAGCAAAAGTGAAAAATTGTTGGCTGCTAAGAAAAAGGTAAAATATTTTAAAATATGCATAACTATTACAGCTGTAAATATTTTTTTTATTATTAAATTTTTATAAAAGAATTCGTATTTTTGACTATATTATTTAATAAGTTGTACTAACTTTTTAATTATTTGTCTTATGATATTATATTTGTAAATATTTAGGTTATGTTATTTGTCAATTAATTATTTATTTGTCATCAATAATACATTTTAATTTTGTTCATAATATGTATGTTTTAAAATTATGAATAAATCATTTTTTCAAGTTTATTAAATTATTAATGTATAAAATATTATAATTATCTGTATTTTATATTTTTAATCTTGTTAGCTAAGGGAATTTCAATTAAGTAAACTGGAAAACAGTCAAGATGGTCCTATTAAACAAAAACATCATTCTGTAGATTTATTATTTTCACAGGTGAGCTATATTTATAAATTATAATATTGATTCTTGATATTTTTAAATTTAAAACCAAGGTTAATTGCAATTATATTTCTTATTGTAACTTAAATTATATTTTGACTCCTTATTATTATTAAATTAAATCCTTTCAAATTAATTTATTAAATTTGTAGTGCCAAAATGCAGAAACTAATAAATTAAATGTAGATGGTATAAGCGATACATTAACAATAGGAACTTCAGAAAATAACACTCATATTGTTCATGAGTTCCAAAAAAATGAAATACCTCTCATAAATACATTAATAACTTCAGAAAATACAACAAAACATGATGAATTACATTATTCTTTAGAAGAGGTTACTAATTCTATACAAAACACACAAGAAATTAATTCAGTATCAAAGGTAGACAAAGAAATGGATTTAAATGATTTACCAAAAGTACAAAAAGAACATCTCTTAGAGATGGCTTCTGCAGTTGCAGATGCTTTAACAAATGAATCAGAACATATAGAAACATCTTTAGATTGTAATTTAATGTGTCATAATCAATTTTTAAGTTCCTATTTAGAAGAACAAAAGAAAATTGTTAATGAATTACACATAGAGCTCAGTAATGCTGTAAGTGTATATGTAAATTTTCTAGAGACTATGAAAATTAACATTTTAAAAATATTTTAAATATAAAATTTTTTAATGACTTGTTTAGCATAGCAGAGTTTCAGAATTAGAAACCAAATTAGCAGGAAAAGAAATAGAATTTCAGGCACAATTGGCACGAGAAATAAATCCTTTGAAAGAACAACTTCAAGTTCATACTCAGACTACTGGAATTCTAATTGCAGAAAAAGCAGAACTCACTGCTGCCCTTAGCCAAGCTCAACAAAGTGCTAGACATAGTTCAGGTTTGTTATATTAATTAATAAACTTTTCTAAATTTATGATGATTATTAATAAACAAGGAACATTTTTTAGAAGACATAGAGGAAATAACAAAAAGATCAAAGAATGCACAAATTCGTATAGTTGAATTAGAAAAAGAAATATCTACTGTAAAAAATAATAATGAAGAATTGAGAAAAAATTGTTATCAATTGCAAGATGAATATGATTCCCTAAATAAAAAATTTTTTGAATTGAAAAAAGAAAAAGAAGATTTAAATTTAGAAGTATCTGAATTAAAGCAAAAGCTAAATCTAAAAAAAACAGAATTAATTGCCATTGAGCAAGAACTTCAAGAAAAAGCAGCATTGCTTTCATTAAGTGAACTTAGAATACAACAGGTGGTATTACATTATCATTAAAAAAAATATGTGAAACATTCATCTTATTTTTTTTGTTTTAGATGAAAGGTGCTGCATCAACAGGAGAGGAAAAACATACATCAATTCTTCTAGAACAAGAATTGGCACAAACTAAAGAATCTTTGAAAATTGTTAGTATTGAAAAAGATGAAACTAATAAACAATATCAGAATTATGTTAAACAATTAGATGCCCAGCAAGCAAAATTATTAGAGGAGGTATGCTTATATAAAATGAAATTTGATGGTATAATGAATCTAATAAAACTTTTTAAAATTAAATATTATTTATAGATAAATATGCAAAAGAAAGCTGTAGAAGATTTACGATATAGAGAACAAAATTATGTGCAAAAAATTTCAAATCTTGAACAGCAGTTGCAACAAGAAAGAGAAAAAGTAGAGAAATTATCGCCTTTGCAAGATCGTAAAGACCAAATGGATAATTTACTAAAAAATATAGATGAACTTACATTAGAACAAGAAAGACTCCATATTACACTATCTGAAAAGGTGGCATTTTTATATTAACTTCTTAATGCACATTATTTTATTGCTTTATCCAGTAAGAAATGTGCAAGTTTTTTTGTAAATGAAATTGTTTCTTAACTATAAAGGAATATATATTTTTGCAATAATAATTTTACGATTTTATTACGATTTCATTATAAATATAATATATGATATATTTTAAAATACAATATGCAAGATAGGATATGAAATGAAACCAATATCTTTTTATGAAAATAAAAAATTCATAAATTGTAATAGTACATGTCCGTGTCTTACACTGACTTGTGCACTTTGGACAGCCAGTTATATCTTGTATCTTACATGAACTTGTACATTAAGCGGTTAATTATTAATAGAAATTAAATGAGAATTATTAAAAATTTTATAAGTTTATTGATTAATAATATTTGAAAATTGTATTTTGAAATATCCTTCAACAAATATGTTATAGAAACTATTGTTCGTTAAAATATTAAACATTTTTTGTTGTCTATTTAGGACTCACAAATCGAAATGTTAACAAAAAATTTAAATGATCTACAAGATGTAAATAATCAAAAAGACGAAGTAACAAAGTTAGCTAATGCTCTTGAAAGTGAACAGTTAGGGGCATCTAGAGCAGTTCATCAAAATCGACAATTGAAAGAACAATTGACTGACATGGAAACTGCTTTTGTTAACCTGGTAAGTGTAATATTAAATGGAACATATCAGTGATTCAATAAATAAAAGAAAATAAACTATATAAGTTCTTAACGTAATTTTAAGAGTAATGCCAAATTGGATTTAACTGAACAACTTCAAGCAGAACGTTCAATAGGACGAAAATTAAATATTCAATTAAATAATGTGGAAAATGAGTTAGAACAATTAAAAGAAAAGCTAAGGGAAAAAGAAGTTATTCTTGAAGAGCTTAAAAAAGAAAGTCTTCAGAGTGCTCAAATAGCAGATCAAATACAACATTACCAAGCACAATCACATCATGTAGATACTTTTCAACGAGAACTTCAACATGCCATAGTAAACATACATTTTTTCTTTATGAACTTCATTACTATAAAATATTAATTAAAATAAAAAATTATTTTAATTAACATCGCACATTTTCTTTACTTTATTTTCATTTTAGATTACTATAAAAAAACTGGAAAAGGAAAAACAGGCACTTACAGAGAAATTGAAAGAAACGAATCCAGATAGTTCTGTTTCAGAAATTGAGTCATATTCTATGAATGCTAATAATAATACATTAAATTCAGAAGCAAATATACATTCAAAATGTCTGAACGAAAGTAATGTTACAGTATTAGAACCTGTAAAACAACTTGAACAAAGATTTAAACAAACCATGGAACGAGTTGCAGAGCTCACAGAAGAAAAACAGAAACTTGAACATCTCGTGTTACAACTTCAAAGTGAAACAGAGACAATAGGTATAAATTGTCTTTAAACATTTATTTGATTTTATTATGATTCCAATTTTATTTTTATATTTACGAAGTTTATTTCCTTATTTTTTATTTTTAGGAGAATACATAGCATTATACCGAAAAGAAAGGGCACATATACAAAATAGAGCAGCAGAAAGAGAGGAGTTATTTCGGCAAATACTCGAACAAAGAAATCAACAACAAGAACAATTACATAAATTAAAAGTCTTGGTTAGTGATTTTCTTCGAAAAGAATACATACATTCCAATGGAACAGAGCATATGATTGAAACAGGTATACCATGATATGTCTTAATTACCTAAAATATAAATTTGATTTATGTGATAAGATTTTATTAATTGAAAAATTGTGAAGTGATTGTAATTGAACAAAACAGATTATTTTTCAGAAACAGATTCCAACAACTCAATGAACCTAAGAAAAGTAAAAGCAATGACAGATTCACAAATAGAAAATAAAAGTGTTTTGGAACTTCTAGATGTCCTAACAGAGATAAAAGATTGTAAAGATTCTTGTATGTTTGAACCAAATTTTCATCCATGTCCTTGGTGTTCTGGAAAGTTACTTACAGTATAAAAGATATGTCACGTATATATTGTATTTTTAGTATAGGCTATCAGTATAGAATTTTTAATCACCAACGATTTGTAGAACATAATTGTATATAAGACAAAACCTATAATAATTATAATTTGTAAATAATTGATGTGGGAAAAAGGAAATTTTCTTCAAAAATAATTGTCGTTTTATATAGAACTGAGTATTAAAAAAAAAATTCATTTAAGCCTAAAATATTGTTTACAAAAATTGTTGGAAGTGCTTTTTTAAATTATTATTTTTATGATAAATATATAGAGAAAATATAATTCTCTATAAAAATTATTGTAAAGATCTGTGAAAACAAGATTTTATTTCTAAATATTTTATTTAACAAATTTAAAAAATTAATATTTTATTGTTGCTTTTTAATTTTATTATTCATTTAAATCGCTTCGTTGTTTTTTAATATCAAAATATTTATTCAATATAATGATTGTTCAAAATATAAGAAGACAAATTCTATAAAAACTTATATTTTAAATGTTTATTTGCAAACTTACAAAAAACATTTTTTAATTTTGTTTATAATTTTACTTTTTTTGTAGTTTTTGTATCTTCTTCAATAACATTAATACTTTTTGTTTGATCTTTGATAATAAAAGCAGCTTTTCCTCTCCGTCTTCTTTCTAAAGCAAGAAACAAAAACTTAGTGATTGTCTTATGTAAGTGCCTTTTATTTTCATGAAAATTTGCACCTTTATATTTAATTTCATATTACCTGCTCTTAACAGAAGTCTTCTACATTGATGTAATATTGAAGCTTTTGCTTTAACTTCATTCAAGCCCAATAAACATGCTAAATTAATTAGATCATATGGATTTCTAATTGTTTTAGCATCATTGGAACCACTGGATAATATTACATTCTAAATAAATAAGATATTCATTTAAAAATTCTTTTACTACCTAGATATGGATTTTAAATAAAAATCTTTTAATCAATAAAATATATTTTAAAAGATTATTAATAATTATAAATATATATAAGTGTTTATTGACGACATAATAATATTAATTTATATTCATTATTACTTTATGATAATGTATATTGTACTATTAAAAAATACTTTTATTTTCATCATAGTATGAATATTTTTATACCTTACTCTTCCCATAAGTATGGAAAAGATGAGCATAATGTATAGTATGTTTTCTACATTCTATATTTAGAAGATCTATATATTGAATTTCAAAATGTATGCCTCTTTCAACTGCTTGATCATATAGTTTTTTATTAAATTTAAAAGTTATTGAATTTGATCTTAGAGTAATTATATCTGCATTCAATTGTGTGCATGCAAATTGTAAAGCATTTTGTGTTTTTGGAACAAAAGCATACAAGTCGTATTTTTTAAAATTAGAACAATGATTAAGAATATGTGTTTTGGCAACGTCAGAACACCAAAAACTAATTCGATTAAAAATTTGTAATTTTCCGTCAAATTCTTTTCTTATATTTTCTATGTCGATTGTTTTGAAACTAATACTTTGTGACACTTCACTATCATTTCTCTTTTTCTTTTTTTTATCTATTCCAAGAACACTTTCATCTATATTAGTATTTATTGCTACTGTTTTGAATCCATATTCATATAATTTTGATAAAACAGAATATAAATTTTCTATTTCATTTCCTCGTACATTCACACATAAATCGTAAAATCCTGTACTTTCCCTGATATTCATTGTTACAAAATATGAAATTTATATATGTAGTTTTAGTAATTGTAATTTAAGTTTTTTGAAATGTTCAATTCAAACTGCTACTTAAATAAAAACTCTCTTATGTTGTTTTCATTATTTTTGTCGAGTATACAGAATTAAAAACCTAATCCTAACCTATCATTTTCAAAATAGATACGAAATATTCTTATGTACAGAAGTTTAAAACTATTAAATTAATTTTGGTTCACGAAACAATGTAACAAACTATTATTTTCTATAATTGTTATAAACAACCAAAATCAATAAAGACATTGATTTCCATTCTAATTTCAATAGTTCTTAAATATTCTGTTTTGTACTGATTAATGCAGTATAATATGTATCTATACCCTTTTAGTACGGTATTAAATTAATGACTTTATTTATTTCATAGAATTATTTAGAAAATTGCTTGTTGACTAATTCAAATTGGCAACATGCAAGATTACTGCTATACAAATTAAGATAAAAAATTCGATTCCCGTCTATAGTTAATTTTTTTTCAATCTATTATTTATTTTGTATTCATTTTTGGCCTATGAAAACATTGTAAATAAATAATTGTAACTAAAAGTTCTTAATAAAAAAGTTTATTATTTTTTACGCTTTCTTATGCTAGTATATATTTATTACAAAATAATAAGAATATTATGCGCGAAAAACACTTTTCTATAGCAATCTTATTTACTATAGAAAGAAAACGAAAATATAAATAATCATTAGATAAAGGAAATACAAAACCTAACGCTCATGTAAGTATTAATTATCAAATTAAACATTGTATAAGCACGTTGCATATAATTCCAACTTTTCTATGCAGCTAGAAATGTTCATGAATTAATTGCAGTAATTTGGAAATTTATTAATTTAATACTGCCAAATAAATAAAAATTTTACCGCCTGCGATCTAATATCTACTTAGATTCTAATGTCTATATGGCATTGTTTATTATGTCATTAACAATTAAAGTATATATCTGAAACTTTCAAAGTGAATAAAATGTACCTAAGCATATAACCATTGCAATTTCATTTTCTTTTTACCAAGAACAAAATCACTCGTCTTCATCTGTGACTTCATGTTCGTCTATAATTAATTCATCAACCTTTATATTTGCATAGTGCAGGCACAGCTTTAGCGAGCTTTCTAATATAATTCTGGATATGAATTCCTTGTTATTTAATTCATTATTGATGATTATTGCATACAGTGCTTGAACCATTGCCGAAGATAGTAATGGTTTATTTGTCTTTCCATTAGTATAATGGAATAATTAATAATTCCAGTTCATGAATTAATTATAGAAATTTGTAATTTTTCGCAACAGAAATATATTTATAATTGCTTCACTGATATTAATAAATATAAGAAACATCGTTTAATATTCTACATCGATACTTTATCACATAGCTATTTCAAAGATGCAAGATTTTCCCGCTACAAAAATACCTAGCGTATCTGGTTGCAGCTAATTTCCAGTTGGCTGCAAGAGGATACACCGGTAACAAATGGAACATTCTCGCGCGTCAAAGTGAAACATTAAATCTCAAAAGGTTTGGTAAAGTAGTGATATCGCTGATTAACGTTATAATTACCTTAAAAAGTTCAAAATTACTGACTGTGAACATTTCTTCGGTGATAATATACTACATGTAAAAACAAGTGATGTTACATAGTGTAAATCGTATAACGATACATGTGGAAAATGAAATGGTGTGAGTGCCGGATCATCTAATACTATCGCATTATCCGTTATTAACGGCTGTATTAGATTCTAGATTTAGGATGTCCTATAATATATTTGAATATTTTTATTCTGAATATGCAGCTTGTTAACAGTTTTACCAATTTTTCTTCAATCTTGACGTTCGATTGCAAAGTAGCTACGTATTATCGTTTATACATTCGAAACTTCGATTGTGGATTAGGATATTTTATTACTCCTGCATAGAATAGATTGTTTTCTAACCAGTAGGGCAATTATGTTACGATTGAAGGTGCACATATGAAATTATGTGACGGAAAAGCAAGTCCCTGTGAAATCGTTCCACACAGTTTACTTTTCTCGCTTACATTACTAAAATTAGACATTTCGGTTAGGTTTTTTCTATATACCAGTGTAGAGTGGAATATTCTCTAACCGGATTGGATATTTTTTTTCGGTTTCGAGTCTGCGTTTTCGAAAAATAGTGCCGAAAGTGTCAGTGGCTGACAAATCGTGCGGACGCAATTTACTTTTTCAGCTTTTATTTTTTGAATTAGGCTTTTTAAATCAGATTTTCCCACATATTCGCGTAGAGTGATTTTTTCCTTAACAGGATTGGATATTTTTTTTCGGTTTCTAGCGTGCATTTTCAATAAATAGTGGGGAAAGTGTCCGTGGCGGTCAGATCGTGCTGCGTAATTGACTTTTGTGACTTCTATTTCAGAAATTAGGCTTTTGGATTGGGCTTTTTCTACATAATATCACCAGCGTAGAGGCATTAAATACCAAGAATTACATTTTGTGGCGAGAAAAAATTGAAACAGAATACAAATATGTAAGGTATATGTCGATTTGATTCTAGGTGGGGTAGCCAGATGACATACAAGATAGAAATCTTTGATGGTGAAACAAATATTCAGAAAATGGCCATGGTTTGCACAGACAAAAAGGAATGGAATTAATTTAGGTGGTGGCCTCTGTTAAAAACAAGATATAGAGAGTACAGTGAGATTGAAAGGTATGTTGTCTTCCTGATCTAAATAAATATTAATATCAGTGGTCATAGTAATTGGTCATTGCTAATTTGTTAAGTTTCAGAATGCTAGAGCTGAGGTATAAAGAAAATGGAGAGTTTCAAATGAAAGGAGTGAGAAGGGGAAATGCATATTATGTCGAATCAAGAAACAGGAAAGAGGCAGCATATACATCAATAGAGAAGGATGTGTGGCATCGACATGCAAATATGACAATCACTGAAGAGATGGAGAATGAACACTTGGTAATAGTTATAAAAATTAAAGATAAATTGAATATAGTGTCTAAATGTTGCAGTAGTTATGAAAGTTAAAGATAAATTGAATACGGAGTGTAAATGTTGCATTGAAGCATATATGTGTAGAAATATCTATAGGAACTTGGAAAGTATAAAAGCAGGAGGAATAATGGGACTGTGGCACATGAAATTGATTGGGACAAGAAAGTCAGCATCAAAAGGAGGTAAAAGGTATGTCTTACTTGCTGATAATTATTCGAGAAAAGAACCATTTGGTCAACTAATTTATAAATGACTAAAGATTTAATATGAAATACTATTGACAAAAGATTTTTTTTATTATAGGAGATTTACAGACATGAGTAATATTTATATGCAAGAGTTAGTCACCAAGATTAAAGTAATAGGTATTAGTTAATAATATTTCAATGGATTGTATATCTGTTTTTAAAAATTTAACCGATATACAATATTTACTTTCTAAATTTCTATATTAATGTATTAAATAATTTCTAATTTGAATTACAATAATAAAT